GGGCTGCAGGGCCAGACGCTGCGCGTGCAGGGTCCACTGCCGCAACGCTACCTCCCCTCCCGCTGCACAAAAAAAACGGGGGGGGGGAAACAGGAGCTACAACCGCACAGCTGCGCCAAGACATGCAACGCCACGGGCTCTCGTCGCAAAACCGTGCCTTACATGCACGTGCTGCCGTACTGGGGGCAGAAATGCCTAGTTCGTTGGGCCGGTTGCCCCAAGGTCGCTGTGTGTGGGGCGGGAGGCAGGCAGCCCTTCTAATCCCACAAGGTCCGGCCGCGAGGCCTCGTCGAAGACGAGCTGCCGCACCCAGGTAATGGGGGAGGCAGTGGTTCCTCCACAAGCCAAAACAGACACAACGCAGCGAACACACTCGCAATGCGCCAAAGTGTTTAACTGCCTAACAATGGCCGACGCAGTAGGAGACAAATGTCTTAGTACCTGGAGCAACGGTCTCAAACCTTGCAACTCTTGTGCCTGCAGATGCGGTGGATGGGCCTCACGGGGTGCTAACAGACGCAACGCAGCGGAGATTTGCAGATCAAACAAGAGAACAGGCGTCCGAAGAAGCACACATCATGACATGTGCGCGAGCCCCGCCTGGGATAGGAAGAGGTGCGCTTGGTCTATCCCCAGTCATGATGTATCGTATGGTACTTCTAGGTCTCCAACCGCCATGCTTGTCTGGGATTTCCGAACGCTCTAGAGCCTCAGCCAGGAGACCGTTTAGGTCGTCGGCTTCTTCATCAGGTCGTAACCGCTGCTTCAAGAGTTCTCGAATCTTCGTGCTATTCAAGAGCTCCTGCGCCTCTTCTCTAGACCACCTGTAACACTCTGCTGGCATCTGATTCCCTTTCTGCGTTGTATCACCATTGAGATCTCCGACTTCGTTCGCTGCAGCTTCACTCTGCACGATGACAATGACCTGGTGAAGGTTGTCATTCGCAGCCCGGGCGATCACTCTCAATCTATCTCCAAGTAGCTCATTTATTCTTCCGCTATCCAGAACATTGTCCAAAATTAACCTCACTCTGATGCCCTTATCCTTCAGGCTGGTGAAGAACGGGCGGGCGATTTCTGCAGAAAACTTGATGTTGGAGACGCAGAAGAAAGATTCCAGTTGCCGCTCAAAGTCGTTCTGCAACAGCACGATTACATCCGTCGGCTGTCTACCTTTCAGCTCAAGTGCTGCCAGTGTTGCAGCAGTTGACTTTCCAACACCTGGCTCTGCATGCAGTGCGTAGACTCCAGCCACGCTTGTATTCTGAAGCACTGCAACCATGAGCTTCTCGAAAGGTGTACCTCTGATTGGCTTAAGAGGCAAGTCTGCCTCTTGCGCAATCGGGATGAGAACAGTATTCCCTTCATCTACAGCTTGTTCAATACTTGTCGTCAATTTGTCAACATGTTTCTTCGCGTCGTTGCCTTCAAAAAGCTCTTGCTTTCTCCAGGTCTCGGCAAATTCTTGCACTTTTTCAAGGCTTTGCACCAGCTCAAATGCAGGTGTCAGAGTTGCTTGCACCACGGTCCATGCACCTGCAACTGCAGCTGGAAAACTTGGATCTTGCGCTAGATTCTCCAGTGCTGATATCTCGTCTGCAGCACGTCTGCGAGACATGTGCCTGCTTCTAGCCCGTGGTGTTGCAAACACCGGTGCTTTTGCCCACTGCAGAACAGCTGCCAACGCAACAGCAAGCAGCACTCTTGTGGCGTTGGGTTTCATGCTGGGCACAACGAGTCTGCAATCGGGTCCAAAACGGGAAGTTGAGGGGACTGAATTTGCTATCAGTGCCGCGTTGCTTGAGAATCAAGTGATACCGAGAATACACAAATTCTCCAGGATGACATGCAATACGTTTGGCCCATTGGCCTCTTGCTTGCTAGGATTTGAAAGGTAGAAGCTGAAGTCGAAGGTGTGATCAAACAACCAGAATGCCTGTCCAGCGCCCAGCCCATTTTCTAACAAAAACTATGACAACCATACTTCAAGAGCTCTTCTAATCGGAAAACAGCAACAGCTACTACGCCAACAATCACTACTTTGCCTTGAAAATGATTCAGGTCTGAACCATTGGACACACCAAAAAATACATGATAGAATCGCCCAAGTTTCGGCAGCCTGACTAACAAATGGTTCGGAGAGTGGATGCCGTCTTTTTTCTCAGTCTCTGCTTGCATTTTGCAACTGCTGTCTTCTTCCAATGTATTCAGTGGATTGGACTGCGCTTCTTGCTTTCCTTCAAAACACCCAGCACTTTCCACACTTCTTATTCTCAAGCACAGGCGCGAAAGCAAATGTGTTCAAGCATTGATACTGTACTTGTTAATTTGATGTTGGTTCCGTTTGTTCCCGTCTTCCAAAATCTGCTCTTTCACTTTATCTAAAGCGCTTTACTGCATTCTTGTCTGTGTCTGTGCACGATCCCAACATGAAACAAGAAAAAGCACACAGTGGAAGCCTTTGGTAAGACTTCGAGAAACCAGAAAAGTGATATATATATATATATATTCACACACCTGCTTCCTCCAGAAAACATGCAGGAGATGTTTCCCAGCACAACCTTGCGCTTTGTGCAAATGCAGGGCTGCTGAGGCATGGGAGGAAACGAAAACGTACATCCAAAAGTGCCAATAATCGGTGCCATCTGTGTAAACATTTGCACTTACATGTTGCGCCATGTGACCCAGAAAGCAGCAAGCGTCACGAAGAGTGGGAAACGGCCTTCCAACAAGCACACGGTTGACTGGCTGTTTTTTTACAAATGGCGGAGACATATCATGGACCAAGTAAAAGCAAGCTTCCAAGAAATCCTGGCCGCATTCAAAACTTCAGCGCTGCCAAAACGGCGGTTGCGCCCTCGGACGCGCAGCAAAACAAAATCCGACGCCTTAAACTTCGACTTCAAGCAGACACGCTCGTCGGCAACTCCCAAGACCCCCAGCTGCCGCTGCTATCGCCGCCCTTGCCCCACATTCCCAGCCGTGCGTGCTGCTCGTCGGCTCCCGCTGGGCAGAAATCTGTAGCAGCCACTAGAATGTAGAGGCGAAGCTTGTCCTGCAATCTTGTTGGAGGCCGTTGGCAGCCTTTGAAGAGCAGCTTTTAGGCCCGATGTTCGAGGGTATAAAACTTGCTTTTACGTGCGGAGTGCGCATATCGCTTCCCCCAAGGGTTAAGGCACACACACACACACACAAACAAACACACCGAGACAACCACGCAAAATATAGCCACGGCCAAAAAAAATGTTTTGCTACGCTCCTCACCCATACCTTGCCCCGCTCCTCACCCATACCTTGCCCCTTTTTTTTGCGCACTGCTAATTGCGTAGGCTTGTTAATGTAAGCTGAAGTGCCACATCTGGGGCTTTTTGCCTCGCTGCTCCAGAATTTTCTTGGAAAGATTTTATCTAACCTTAACTTGGCCACCTGCAATTTGCCGGCCTACCGCTTGGAAGTGAAACCGCAGCTTTTTGCCCACATTGGCTACTGCAACTTGCTGCAAAATGGCACGGAGAGTTTGGTTTATTTGTTAACGAACGCATTGCCAAAACTTCTGCGCCAAAGCTGCGCAGTGAAAATCCAAAAAGGCTCTTGTCTAACAGCGCTTATGAGCGGCCTTGGGCAAGGACATAACAACAGTTCTAAAGCATGCGCCAGTCCGACTGGACTAGCAAGCACGGGCTGGATTAGCAACATACCCAGACTGGCTGGCTTATGGAAGCACAACGCCGTAGCTGTCAAACCACACACGCAACAACAAACTGACATCTGCAAACATGCGAACATGATTATGTAAGCATGCAACTTGGCCGCACCACAGTTTATATTTGTTGTTTTTTGAAAAAAAGTATTTACATCTGATATTTTATCAAATGAAAATGTATTATCTTTATTACCTTCTTCAGTATTGGCCTTACATGCCCAAAGTGTGTGGGGGCGGAAGGCAGGGCAGCCTTTCCAATTCCAACAAAGCCCGGCCGCGGCCCGGTCCAGTTTTAACTGCCGCATACATTTGATAGCAGAGGCCGGGTGTGGTCGACGTGGCGCCGAACACAGCATGAAATAAGCCTGGGTATGCTGCTGCCAAGCTCAAGATGCTGTTCAAAGAAGGGCTCTTATAAATGCAGCCTACGGCGCAAATTTCTGTAAGCTGCACAATCGCGGTCATGTCCAAGTTGCCCTCTGCAAGACGCCGCACAAAAACCAAGTACGGCGCCATGTCTGTCCACTTCTGGACACCGTGACGTTTAAGTAAAGTGCATTCCTCTGAAGAGTGCTAGCGGACACGACTCTGTCTGGGGTCCACCTGTGATTTTGTGGCCGCCACTCAGTTGTTCAAATTGTTGCTTTGTTCTTTAAACATTGCATGACACCCCGTGGTGGGAAAAAGCTTTGCTACCTGCAATTTGAGCTTCTCTTCAAAAGTTAGAAAACCAGCAGGCACACCATCTTGGCACAGCTCCTGAAACACAGCGGCTGCCACCGTCGACTTGCCTATGCCCGTTTCCATGTAAAACGCATGTATGCCACACTTGTTTGCTGTCTTAAGCATAAGTCTGTGCTACACAGTTTCTGGTTTCTGACTTGTTGTACTTGTACCTCGCCGGCACAGTCCCATATTGCAAAATAGCCGAGACTAAGTGAATGTTGTTGGATTGCACATTGTTCCACACCAATATCGACGGCTAACCAAATTCCGCACCGGCGCCACCATTCCATTACGTGTTCGGGGCATCCAAAAACCGTATTGGGACCGATGGGTAAACAACCATACGAAGGCAAACCCAAGAGTACATGCCGCACCGGTAAGAAGCCAAGATCGACTGCCAAACCTAGGCTGTGTGGGCACAATGGGCAGGGACGGTGCGGCCGGGGGCGGTGTGGTTGGCCATGCCACAGCTCCAGCTCCAATTACGAACATTCAAGTTGACTCTGTTTCTGCGCCAAAGTCTTGATAGAAGTATTTCGAAAGACACGGCACAATTTCCTGGAACAAGCATGTGCTTGAGAATGCATTTCAACTTCACGCAAGTCCCGCTGTTGATTGCATGATGTGTGTCCAATGACCCTTTAAGGCTCAAGTTTGCAACGCGAGCCAAAAGCACACGGACAAATGTGGACACACACCTTTGCACAAGACAAATTGCACAGAACAAGAAATCTGAAAAAGTGGTAGAAACTGCATCGAACCAAAAAATAAGGACCGTACCAAGACAAGAAAAAAATTGAAACCTAAAACGTTTGAGACTCTTGAGCAAACGTTATGACCAGATTTTCAAAAAGAAGCGTTGACGGGTTTGAACTTTCCGTTTTTGGTGGATCCGGATCACAGATCACAGAATCTCGTTTATTTGACGTAGGGATGGTCGAGTTCTCGCATTTTCGGAAAAAAAATTATCTATTTGGGGATTCCCCTTCTCAAAAATTTGGCCCGCGAAAAGCATCTTGACCTTATCAACAGGCTTTGTGTTGTCCTGGACAAGATCACAAGGGCCAGGTTAACGCCCAGGCCACTGAGGTTGTTGAATTGAAAATCATTCCAGCCCTGTGTTATGCCGCAGCAGTGGCCAGACCCACTACTTCTCAAATTAATCGCTTGCGCAGTGCAATCTTTAGATCTTGCGTGAATCGCCCCTGCGCGACACAGCTCGCACATGCACTGCTGCTCCAAAAAATCCATCGTTTTGACCCAGATGTTGCCATGACCTACGCAAATCTGTGTTTCTGGCGTAGGTGCACATACAATGCCCAGCCATTCTTCCTCTTGTGCGACAAGCACTTGAAATGGAATGCCGTGTCAATGCCCGCCACCATGGGCCAATCACTTTGCTTCTCAAGGATATTGAATGGCTCCAATGCGAATACGATCATGCGAACAATACCCTCAAGCAACGTGGCTCTTCTCATTCCACGTCTTTCTTTGAAAAGGATGTAGGAAAATTTCAGCATATCCTTAGGGACATGATTAGGTTTAAAGTGTTGGGGACGTTACAGCAGAAACATAGTAGATGGGATGGGGTTACAGCTGTTGACATGAAGCATACCACAGCCTTAGTTCGTGCGCTGGAGCCTACCAACCCGTGTCGCCCAACTTTGCAGAGGCTATTAGCTGACGCTCACGCCACGCCGCATAAGCTCTACAAGATGCGTATTTTTCCCACGCCGCATTGCCGACATTGTAATTGTGAGGATGCTGATATAACTCACATTCTTTGGCACTGCCCCAGAATTCAATATCTGCGGGAGGATCGGCCCTCTTGCATGTCTCAACAGAATGAATGGCCAGCATGCGCTCGCAATTCTTTGATTGCCACTACCACCATGCAGGCTGATGTGCTGCGGCAGTGGGGAGTTGTGCAGATGCATGCCGCTACTCTTTTGAATACGTGGATGGAGTTTCAGCGCAATCCAGACCTTATCGTTCCCGTTGTTCATGATGATGCTAAGACTCCACCACAATTCGATCGTGTGGGAAACGTCCCAATAGCACTGCACCAAACACGCGTTTCCATTGCCAGGTCTAGCTTCCTTGATTT